CTCAGCGTCCACAGCTCAGACGAGGATGTCAGCGGTGACCAGCTAATCGATGAAGACGACTCGGAGATGGTAAGTCTTCCATCTGACTAGACGTCCACAGAACGTTTGAGCCTGGCCAGGTCGTCACACAGGGGAAGGACAAGAAGTCCGCGAGGGCCAAGAACACCAAGCCGCGCCAGCGTGTCAAGTTAGCGGACCTCCCTCCCAAGATCCGCGCCCTTGCCGTCGTGGCTCAAAACTCGCTCCGCCTCACCCTCTCGCTCGAGTCGGCCTGGACCAGCGACTCCAACGTCTCCAGCCCACGCCTGCTCGCGAACGTCAACCTTACAGCCGAGGCTCTCAAAGACGCACGCAAGGGCAAGAATAAGGATGCGCGGGAGAAGAAGGAACTTAGGCGGGCGTATGCGAAGGTGCAGGCGGGGGAGGGTGACGAGGGAAATCATCTGCGGACGTCAGTGAATACCGTGGTGAGTCTCTCAATGTATTCCGTCTTCAGTTACTTAGTGAGGTTGGTCAGGTGTGGGCGGTGGCTGCGCAGTTGCGCAACGAGGTGAAGAAGAAGGCTAAGACCGTGGTTGAACACGCGTACGGCTTGAACATGCACCCAAAGCAGCGGCGTGTATCTCTCGCAACATGGCTCCTCAAGACCCATCCAATGCGGGTGAACGGTGTAAAGCACGACATCCCGAACTTTGTGTTCGGGGACATGGAGCTTGCGTGGAATAAGGACGGGCTCGACACTAAGGTGCGTCCCATGCTCCGTCTTCATATTCTCAACAACGCTGAGACCCACCAGAAATGCCGCGTGAGCCCCGAGCAGCCGTTCCGCCACCCAGCGATCGCCGAGATTATAGTGCAGCAATGGTTCCTGGGGAACGGCGGCGCCGGTCAAGCGGTCCATCGCTTCCGCGAGGTGCCCGACAACCTCATCTGCCTCGTGTGCAACTCGGTGAGCGGACGCCGTATTTCTCTTCAGTATATCGCTAACCGGTTGCTGGAATCAGATCGAGCTTGGGCTCAAGGAAGCCGTTAGCTCTACTCAGATCATGTTCACGAACAGGCAGTTCGCTCCAAAGTAAGTAGTTGCCGTCGCCGTCTCTCAACTTAACTCACTGACGACCGTGAGCCTAGGTGGGATAGTCTCATGACTATACTGGAGGCCATGCAGGAGAACGCGCCTGACTACTACCGCGACCTCAAGACGTACGTTTGGGGCCGTATCAGGTGAGTCAGTTGCGTTCAGAAAAGAGCCACTGATCAAGAATGATCTGCAGTCAGCGTGTCGACGGCATCACCAGCGATCAGTCGGACGACGAGCCAGACGAGAACTTCATGGACTGGACGGCTTTGCAACAGGCCGCAAAGCCGGCGTCACCGTCCAGACCTGCCAGTGGGCCGTCAACATCGCGTCCAACCACGGCGAAACCGTCCTCGGCGAAACCGTCCTCGGCGAAACCGTCCTCTTCAAGAGCCGCTGCGAAGTCAGCGCGGACCGCTGAGCAAGAGAAGGACGGCGAGGTCGCGGTTGACGAGGTCGCGGTTGACGAGGTCGACGAGCTGCAAGGTATGATATTAGAAGACGTGGTAGTATATTGACGTTCACTGACCTTCTCCTGCAGATGAACGGGATCCGGTTGCCGAAGGTCGTAGGCAGGGCGATGGTAAGGAAGGAGGAGACAGTGAGGGGGGCTCGTCCACTTAGTGAGTGCCGTAGCGTTCTACAGTCCGTGCGTACGAGTTCCAAGGTGAGTACTGTACGTAGTATCTGGGTTATGCACAACTGAAGACTGTTCCTAGGCATATATCCTACCAATCAACACTCCCTTGGACTACTAGAGTACGTATTTCAGTCGACGTCGACGTTTCCTCCACTTCTGCCATCTGTCTCGCCTCACGCGGTGTGTATTTCGGAGCGTAGTAGCAATATCCTGTACCGTATCTGTACCGTTGTATTAGTATCAGCCCAAAGCCACTATCATCTGCACAACCTAATAAGACACAAAAGAACTGTCCGTCATAAAAGTCAATCAAGTGAACCATTGTGTAAAAAGACTTGAAAGTGCGACATGCCATTGAGGCATTATGCGTCTTGAATGTGTGGACAAATATCCAAAGACAGTCAAGAATCTATTGTAATAAAGCATTGGATGTGCTCAACGTATTTTACCACTGCGGAAGGCTACAAAGACTTTTTGGGACTTTGAACGTAGATAAAGAAGGGAGGTTGTCTTTGTGCCTTGGTTTACCTTTTTTCCCTTGAAAGTCCTGAAAGCTAATCCGATTTTTCCTGATGATGATTGGCCAGGGTCGGGCGTCTTGGGGTAGCTTACTAAGTCTCCTCGGTGTATGTACTCGGTGTTGTCTTGCAGGCAACCCTTCAGCACCATGGTCGGCCGGAAGCTTTAACGTTCTGCTCGGCAGGCCATGGTAGCAACATACAGTCATGAATTCAGCCAAAGTTCAATATATTCGTTAACATAAACTGCCGGGTCTCACTACGTAAAAATGTTCGGGTCAGCATAAACATCCCTATACGTCTGCTGAGCATCTCGGTATAAACGGTCGTACATCGCGGCACGCTTCCGGCAGTACGGAGCGAACCCTGCATAATCATCGCCTGGGTGCTGGATAGCCCGGTCTCTCCACATCTCGGCGTGGTGAGAGAAATACCTCCCCACCGAATCAAGTTCCCGGCGTAAGATGCCGGCCTCTTCTTCCAGGCGATCAACTTTGGAGCGTGCGTGGAACCAGTGAATCCGGTGAACTATAATACCGGTGAGACATATGGCGGACACGCATGGAGTGTACTGCTCACTGATTGAGAGTGTATCATTCCTGTCGAGATCTCCTCCGACATCGATATTCCAGATCCATGACGTCGATTTGTGCCTCTGGCCGGGCTTGTTTGGTTCGGCGATGGCGGTGGTGACATTGAGGTCCTCTTTACTGAGACGCTGATACTTGAGTTGCTCCTCCTCTGAGAGACCGAGGACCACCATGGCAGCTCTGCACCTCCGGTAGATTGACGCATGAATAGAGACGGCCCGGTCGAGCTTGTTCATTGTGGTGAATGCTCGGGTGCGCTTGGTGTTGGACTTGCCATGCCGAATGCTGGTACGAAACTGAAAAGACTTGTGGCCGAGAAGGAGGCGGAGCTGGTGGAGCGCATCATTGGCTTGACCACGCCGAAGGGTGAGTTCCTGCTCGGCCAGACGTTTCAGACTCTCATCATCAAACACGACAGGAGATAAGTTGGATGGGAGGCCGAGCGGGGTCTGCTCGGCCATGTTTTCGCTGTGCGGAAGCTTCGGCCGGCTGGTGAACATACTCCATGGGCCGTGTGGCTCCCGGGCGACGACCGGGCCTTCATCCTCCCATTCCTCATCATCTGCCTCGGATTCATCAACACCCCAGTCTGCCCGGTGGCTGATTGCGTTGGCTTGCCGGTGAAACCGTCGGATTCGTGTCTCCAGGGCCTTCCGACGTTGAGCGAGCTTCAGTTGCTGAGGCTTGGTGATCTTTTCGCCTTGCTGCTTGACGTCTCTTCGGATGGTAAGTCTGTTGGTGCATTAGCATGACCTCGTACTGCGGCATACAAGACATACTGTAGCTCCTCAAGCTTGAGGCCCTCGGCAATCCACTCGGCAGTCCCGACAATCCGGCCACCGTTTCCTTCGGCCTCGGTGAGCTGTACCAGGAGGTCTGTCTGAGTGGGCACTGCAATGTTCAGGGAGTTATGTCACCGTGCGCCCGGGTCTATCGCATGCACTCACATATTGGTTTCTTCACAAGGTATTTGTCCATCGCTTTCACATTGGTGAGGCGCCGGCGTTGAGCGATGTTCAATTCGCGCTTCCAGCTCTGCAGAGTCTCGGCGTTCAATCCTGACTCCTTCGCCAAGAGGTCCTGTTTCATCTCGGCGAGCAGGGGCCGGTTCGCCTTTATCTTCCTCCTTAGGGATGCCACTACCGGTTGTTCAGATGATGAGGATGTGGCAGTGGAAGCCCTGGCGACGTACCCATGGTAATCATTTTCTTCCAGTTCCAGTCATTCATGTGCCGGTCGAGTGTTTCCTGCCGGTGGGACGTCGACATCGTCCGGGTGCTGCCAGAGATACGATTTGTCGTCGACCACTGTGTTTCGATGATTTCGCCGTCGACCTCGCCGGCGCCCTTTGTGAAGGTCAGGGAGTGGCGGACCTCGCACACTGCCTGATGGCCGTGTACGTGGAAAAGGCCGATGCACTTGTACAGCACCAGACCGCTGGGCATATGAAGATGGGGGTTACCCGCAAACCGTTTGTCGAGATACACATGGTACTGGCAAACGATGTCATAACATAGGTAGACGTGGGTGAGGCCCTTGGATTGATACCCGAGGGCATTTGATAGGGAGTAATCCATGTTCATTTGGCGCTCCCCTTTCTGAAAGTTCACCACCGAATGAGGCACGAAGCAGCCGTGTCTGGCACACGATGTTGCACCTATGCCGGTGACTGCCAGCTTGTGTCTGTCGGCGTTTGCCTGCGATACCGCCTTATGATCGTGGCAGGTGGAGGGCTGTCCACTCGTCAGCACCGGGCCGAGCGTTATTGCCCGAGTGGTAAAGCTCACCATCTTAACTTCCTTCGCCACCAGCAGGTGGTCCTCGTAAGGCCCGGGGTTGACCATAAACATCTTTCCCGGCATAAGAGGAACATCGTTCCCTGGATTCCGCATCCGCATCTGCTCAGCGTGGAAGTTTCCGTCCATGACGTACGTTCGGGCGTACAAATAGCTGCCGGCGCTGTCAGCTTTCGCAGAGTACGTGCACGCATCAACTTACTCTCGGTCGTCGGCCTGCCACTCGTGTGGGATATTTACACCAGGTTGCGGGCATGCAGCACAGAAATTCGCAAGGTCACCGTCTCCCGGAACCCCACGCCAGGCCGGCCGTACCCATGCTCCTTCTTGGCTTGCAGCAGGGTCCACTCCCGACTCACTCTGAGGAGCTCCAAATATCGGTCCTTGTCACTCGTGAGCCATGTCCTCGCACCTCTTACAGAGAACCGCACACTTACCGGCACCTCATGGGGGAACACAGGATCAGTGACTCGGCGAAGACGCCGGTAGTAGTTCATCGCCGTCGTCTTGCACTCAAGGTTGTCGAGCAGGAAGTCATCGAGCACGGTGAATGTGAAGCACGTTCGAGCGGCACGTTGACTGGCCGGATACAGGCCACAGTCAAGGAGCTGAGAGGTATGACTGGCCGCGCCGGCGCATCCACACCATCTCACCGGCAGAAAGTGTATGCCGGTCGTGTCGACGATGGTCATCATGGACGCCGGTGGTCTTGGTGGAGGGTCGGCATGTCGCAAAGGATCGTCCTGAGCAGCCTCCGGGTCGTTTTCTTCTTCCTCGGCCGGCCGTTCTCATCGTCATCATCGACGTCGGCGAAGGGCTCAGGGACCGGGCAAGGTGCACCTCGGTGACCCAAATTGATGCACAGCCCGACATCCTTCAACCAGGCAGGGGCCCAGTAGCCCTCAATCCTCCACTGCTCCACTCGGTGGAATGGTGTTCGGCGGTGCTGGGTGAGACAGCAAGTGTGACAGTAAATGGGCGAACGATGCACGATGAACACTTCCACACGCCGCCTCCGCACTGCAGCTGCGCACTCGAAGGTGCCTTCTCGGCCGGTCGTTGGGGGCTTTGACTGCCATAGACAGACCTGAGGTATGTATTTTGCAGAGGGATCCACTCCCGTAGCATTTGGGGTTGAGTCTAATGAATAATGTCATCACCGACATTGCTTGTGCTGATCTAACTATCGTACCTGGGGAGCTCCCTTCCGCGCTGGTAAAAGTCGAGAATATATTGTTAGGAGGTCGTCATCCTGCTCCTGTCTCATCCAGCTTGACTGCCTCGTGGATGGCTGCGAGCGCCGCTGAGGAGTCGGCGGTGGTGTTTGCAATACATTGTTTTACGGAACGATGCGGACTTAACTCCCCGCTTGGTTCTCGTCCTCTGTATGGCAACCTCCACCACAGTAGGGGAGCTTGCCCTCGGCAGTCGAGCCATCGTCCAGCCTGGAAAGCAAGGCTTCAAGGAGGTCGGCGTTTGTAACGGGCCGGCCGGAGCACCCGGATGATGCAGAATATCGGTGGACAGGGGGGAAAAACCAATGAGATTCATTGGACCCCCATCGGTGCAACTGTCACACCACTGCCCGTCACCCGCACCCGGCTGTCTGTTTGCGGCGATGGGTCCTCGGTGATCCGGCCGAACGGCTGATGGAATATGTGTTACGGTCGCAGATTTGCCTCTAGTGAACGAAGCATAACACCGACATCAGCAACGGTCCGGGAGAACCACCTTTGGCTCCGTAGCAATTGATGCGGCCGGCAATCACAGGTTTCGATCGTCCCGGCCGTTGATCCGAGTCACGTGCTCACGCCCAGGCATTGCTTGGCCACCCTGGTGTCGGGTTGGGGCACATTCCAGTCACCGAATTGATGAAATGACTCGGGCCATATGGGATGTCTGTGTCGCCGGCCGCTTGGCCCCTACGAGTGGAGCGGAGAAGCCGCCCCGGTTCTATTCCAGAACGTGCCACCCGTGGTCGGTTGCTTCGTTACAACGATCCGGCCGGGCGCCGAGCCCTCGGAACGGGTGCCCCGGGCTGCGGGCTTCCACTCAGCGGCGGCTGGTCGTAGTTGCGCTGCCCCGTGGTGTCACATTGCTGTCACTGAGTGGTTTTGAGTTTCGACTTGGGACCAAATGGTCCGAGCGATGACCGGCCGGGTTTCTAACGGTCCGGCCGGTGGTCTGCCTCAAGATGTTTGCGGCCAAAAAAGCATTGAATGTACAGTGACGACCGACACAATGAATGTAGATATATCTATACTAACATAAATGATGCAGAGAAAGGGCAAAGCCCCGGTACAAAATCGTAGACTATTTGGTGACTGGTCATAAACATCGGTGTTCGTTTGGGTGACTGGCGCCGAAACACATCTCTTCCTCAAGCCTCCACTTGTGCCTCCTCCGCAAAGCCCACTCTTCCTTGCAACGTTCCTCGTCCCTTGCCACAATGGGAAGGTCCTACTGGCAGAAACCGTCTTCTGCATTTAAATCGGATTAAGTTTGAATCAATATTGTATTTTAGATCAACTTAAAGGCCATACACATTTAACCCAATCCTGTGCTAAGCTATGGCTTAGCCAGTTGCTTGGCCAAGCAGGATCAGTACAGCTAATCCATACAGGTTTAACCATGGATTATCCATTGTTCATCCATTGCTTAGACTTTTTGCTTAGCCAAGGACAATCAGTACAGCTAATCCATACACACTTAACCATAGATTAGCCATAGTTTATCCATTGCTGAGACTTGCTGAGAAACTGCTTAGCCAATTAATTACCCATATAGGATCAATGAAGCTAATCCTCAGAGGATTAATCTTGGCTAAGTAACATCTGACCCATGTCTAATCATTTCCTAACCATAGATTAGCCATGCTTAGCCATAACTTAGGCAATAGATTCACAAGTAGTTGAGGCTAAGTAGGTTTGAGATGAACACTAATCTTCATTAAGTCATGCTCAATCCATGTCTAATCCCCTGCTGATCAATGCTAAATCATGACTTGAGTATTTTTGATCCAGTTCCAATCCAATGTAACCCATGTGAATGTTCATAATCCTATGCTAATCTATGTACTAAGACAAAATATACCAGTCCTAATCCTGTCTCAAGACAGTGCTTAACAATGCTCATGTGTCTTAAACCAAATCCCAATCTATTGCTAATCCTGTTCATGACAGTATGGCTTAGTGCTAACTACTTCAAAGTCAATCCTAAGTCAAAACATTATCCATTGCTAATCCTGTCTATGACAGGATAGCCTAACACTAATCCACTTCAAAGTCAACTCTAAGTGGAAGTGTTATCCATTGCTAATCCTGTGTATGACAGCTAATCCACTACAAAGTCAATCCTAAGTGAAAGCATAATACACCACTCAATCAACATTAAGTCAGTTCAAAGTTCACCTCAATCCACTCTTAAGTCACACAGATACAATTCCATCAACATCTAATCCATTACCAAACTGATCATAAGAACATGCTGAGACAACTCTATGAACTGCTCATCCTGCAGACATAACTACTCCGAGAACATGCTAAGCCAGTACTGATGAACCACGAAGACATGCTAAGACAGTACTAAGCAACCACAAAAGACATACTAAGCCAGTACTAAGCAACCACAAAAGACATAGTAAAGCCACTACTCAACCACGAAGAAACACTCTGAGACAATGCTAAGCCATAAGTAATCACTCACGAAGACAGCAGATTACCATAAATGACATGAGTCACATGACAGGTCAATATCACGACGAAGACAAGACAAGACAAGACAAGAGCATAGAGCAGGACATGAGGGCCTTCGACGTACTTAGGCCTTACGAGTGGCTGCGCGAGTATTAGGCCTACAGTGAATGTCAGAAACAGTAGGTCAATAGAATAGTGGACTTACTTGGAGCTTTGAGCCGTCGAGCGAAGCACTCGCGCCGGCGCCGATGTACTACCACCCGAGGCCTTCGAGGCCTTCGCGCGAGATTTCATGACACTTGACACCAAGCAAGAAGAACATTAATAAGTCGACGTCATTTACACGAACACAAAACACGTACCTGTTGTTATTGCCACCCTTCGCCGATGTTTGCGCACCGCGGCGACCACTGGCAACCCTCGGCTTCTTGGTAGCGGGCTCCTCGGTATCGCTGTCCTTCGCGCTGTTCGCGCCGTCATCTACGTTGTCGAGCTCAGCTCCCAAACAGAAGATAGCATGGATAATCGGGCATACCTTCGATGGCCGAGCCGTCGATGTCCATCCCGGCGACCTCTCCATCGCGGCGACCTCTCCCGCGCCTCCGAGTCTTTGGAGGCTCGGCCTCGTTGGCTATTAACCATCCATGTCGATGAGCCATTGAGAGTTGTCAAAATACAACCATATACGCACCGTTAATCTCGTCGTGAGCCCCCACCATCTCCCAATCCTCATCCTCAATCTCCTCGTCCTCGTCCATCCCAGTCGCATCCGTAGTATTGCCGGTTTTGGCCGTTTCATCGTCCGGCGCCGACCCATCGTCCGACATGGCGTTGTTGCGGGTGCGGCCGTCGTTGTCGACGTCCCCCTCGACAACGACCGAGTTGTCGACCTATTCAGAGAATGAGTTCACTGAAACATTGATGCTTGTGAAGGCTTACCATGGCGAGGTCGCCCGCAGGCTCGGTAACGGCGTTGTCGTGAGCGCGCTCGTCTGCAACTTGTGGGGGCGCCTCGGCGACTTCTGACGCCGCGTCTTCGACTTGAGGGACCGCGTCTTCGACTTGAGGTACCGCGTCTTCGACTTGAGGTGCGGCGGCTTCGACTTGTGGGCTGCGGCTTCGACTTGTGGGGCCGCATCTTCAAAGGCAAAGTGAGTGTCCTTCTCCTGATTCTCGCGGATCTTCTCCCACAACGCGCTGAGTCGTACGACTGTCAACGCATCCGGGTCGCTGAAGATGGGGGCCGGCCATTCGAGAGCCAGCAGACGCAAGGTGATAGCTTCGGGCGCGAGGACGGGCACCTCGGGGACGCCGCGATGAGCACGAGCTGCAGAGCAAAGGACAGTGAGTACTGTTCAACACAAAACTCGGTTGTACATACCCCATGACCCACGGAAGAAGGCCCAGAGGATCTCCGCCGCCTTACGCCCCGTCATGTCGGCACCCCAGGACGGTAGCATGGGCCTGCCATCCTCGTAGAGTAAGCCGTCGTCGATTTCATCGAGCTCTTCGGCGGGTTGTTGGGGGGTCGTGTAGCTATGTATGATGTTAGTATTTGTGTACAGTGAGGCCGAGATTTACTTACGAAGCACTTCGCATACGTATTGCCTCCATCGTTCAAGCTGGGTCGCCAGTTCGGCGCCCCCCAGGCCGGGAAGGTCTGTCCTGCGAGCTTGTTACCTGCGAAGATACTGAAAATCGCTGTCAGCTCTGCATGAAGTTGACAATGTGAACACTTACTGCTTGACTTGAACAGGCTTACGGTGATCGTTGAAGCCTAGGAGGCAATAGAACACGGCGTCGCCGACGCGGTTGGCCCCGTCCCCGATGGCGCCCTGGAAAAGGGCGGACAACCTGTCCGTCAAGGCTTCCCGGTTGCTAGTACGGGTCGAGTTAGCAAACGAATGAAAGGCGTGTTTAATCACGCACCGAGCCATGGCTGCCTCCTGTGCTTCGCAGGAAAGCGGAGCACGCGCCTTCTCCTCCCAAATCGCCTTCTCCTCTGCCAGCAGCTGCTCGAAGAGAGCGCGGCGCGTCGCCGCCTGCCGACCTCCAGCGCCGACTTCATTTTTCCCTTCGCAGTTCTGCATGATGCGCGCTTTGTTCTCCGGCACCTCCGCCCACAGCTCTGAGGGCCCCTTGGCGCGGGACTTCGCGAAGAGGTCCTTCGAGTTGATATGGACGTCGTCGGGGGTGGTCGCACGGGTGTGCGATGCTTTCCCGCCGTGGTTCTTGAAGTAGTTGTAGATAGCCTATAGTACACGTCTGTCAGTCTGAAGTCTCGACGTCAATCGAAAACGCTTACTTCTTCTGGGTCGGTCTCCTGTGTCCACTTCGGCAGGATGTCTTTGAGGACGCGAGCATGGAATTGCCTCCGGGCCTTCTTCGTGTCCGCGAGGTTGTTCCAGTCCTTGAGGAAACCGTCCATCACGACGTCGAGCCCGTTGACCGTCCAGTCCGTGCGCTGGCGGACCTTCTTGTCGTCGGCCTTCGAGTTGACGTCGGCGGGAGCCGGAGGCAGCTGAGCTGGCTGGGCGGCGGGCTGAGCTTCGGCTGGCATGTCGTCTAGCGCAAAAAAGGTCGCGAGCGAGGGGGAGAGTGAATGCAGTTGGACGTTCGCGAGCAGAGGGAGAGGAATCGGGGTTGAACGACGTGGAAGGTCGGTGGGAGCTTATATAGTGGGTCAGCACACGCCAATTCAACCAACGTCAAACAGGCTTACGATTCGCGAAGGAGAAAGCGATTGCGACCCTAGACTGTAGATGAGATGCAGATCGACGCGAAGCGGTTATGTGAAAGCTTAGCTCCCAACCAAATGCGATCACTATTGTTCCACCCGAGGTATCATTTTAGCGTTTAGCCTGCCCAGCGACGATCGCAATCTCGTTGAAGAGTGCTAAGGTATCTAGATCCGTTGCGGGCGCAAATCGCAATCTGGTTGAGCAGATCGCGAGGTCTGTTGACTACCGCTACGCTTAGGAAACTAAGACTAATATATCTTCTGCTAAGACCTCCCAGACCTGGCCAAGGTCGTCAGGCCCGAACATCGTGCCCTTTCCTTTTTTGGCTGCACGACGCGGCGTGCCCTGCGCCTGCGCCTGCTCCTCCTCACGCTTCCTCTTTTTCCCGGCTGAGACCCTCACGCTCGGCGAGTCGTTGGCTTGGTCGGACGGCCGAACGCGACGCGAAGGCGAACCGGCCGATGTCGAGGGCGTGGTGGGCTGTGATACGACACGCCCGGAACGCAGGACTTGTCCCGGCGAAGAAGCGCCATCCGTCGTCACCAGCGAATGAGCGGGAGTGTGCGGCGAGCTCGCTCCCATGTGCTCGAGTAAAGACGGGAGAGGGGGGCGTCGGGACGTCCGAAGGCGAGGTTCTGCGCTCCCGGGCAAGTACGGACACCGACTCGCCTATACACCAGCACATCGTCCCGCGGTATGTACCGCGGGACGATGGTGCGAGGCCAGGACACGAAGCGAGAGAAACGCTTGTCAAACGTCTCGTAGTCGTGCTCGTTCTCGTCCAGCCCCAAAACATCGCAGGTGATCGCCTGACGGAAGCAGACTTCGACGAGGTCATCTTCGCGTACAGCGCAAACGATTGGGACTCGGATTGGGGGATCTCCGTCCTAGTATCACTCCATTAGCTGTGCATTCGAAGAGGTGTGCGTCGTCTTACCCTTATATAGATGAACGCATATTTAGTTATCGTCTCCTGCGGCGGCGGGGGTCACGCCTGCGGCGCCCTAGATCCACTTCCTCCGGTAACTCGGCCCTCAGGTACAGCGCCCCGCCATGATGTTCGGGAGGTGGCTCGAGCTCCGCGACTTCGCGACGAACGCGTTTGAGCTCGTCGTCGCTCATCTGTACCGTTGCAGCCTTGAGGTGGTTGACGCATTTGCGGCCTGCCGGTTGAGTGCACTGGTATGGGAGTCTTCAGTCGGAGAGGTCGGACACAATGCGAAGGACACTTACTACGCCGAAGACCGTTCCTATGTGATGCTGAGGCGTGTCGTCCAGGCTGATGACAGCGAGATGATTGATATCGCGATAGACGGTGCATCGGAGGAGATTCGAGCGCAGTCGAGCCATCGGAGGCAGGTAGCTGTCCAGGATGTCATGTACGCGAGTGTCGGGCGGCGGCATCTTGGGACGGAGCGGGTACGATGGCTAGGGCTTGCGCAGCTGCCCCTTTTATGCGATCGCACCTGAACTTAAAGTCAGCAGCGATTCGAGTTAAGTGGCAAAGGTGGAATATTGGACACTTATCGCGTTCGCAGTCTTTTCGCATACGTCTTGGCCGGGACTCCGATAATACACAATTAAAATATACGTCCGGCACGTCGTGAGTGATACATTGTACAGTATATACGTGAGATAAACGTGAGAGTGGGGCATCGAGACGTTACAGCCATCCATCAGGTACTACAGCGGGCGGCGTGGGCAAGCGATGGAATGTGTCGACGAAAGAACGGACGTAGAAGGTGACCGCCGCACGCTGAAAACTCACGAAAGCCTGTTCGTCGTAGTCAAATATGCTCATGGGTACAACCTTTAGTTCCTCGGGGAGTCCTGGCCAACGCCGCATGACCTCGACGAACTCGACGAGCGTAGTGACACCGTCGTGCCATCCACTCTGTGGAGGACGCAGCCAGACGGCAGTCGATCGTTCGCCCTGCTCCCAACGAGGGATGACACGCAGACCGGATCCCAATGCGCTCCAGATGCGACAGACTCGCTGTGTAGCTCGGGAGTGTAGTACCCCGGGCACGATGTTCGAGGGGCGGGCCAATCCATGGCTTCCAGGATGAAGGGAGGGTGTGTCGAAACGGGGGAATATGCATCTCGGAGGGGAGTAGTGCCAAAGACGGACCTCGTTGCCAAACCTCTGGCTCGCTGTCCCTATCCTCGGTCCTCCAGGCCTCGTCTACAGCTGTCATCCTGAGTCCTGACTCGTTCCGCTGCTCCCTCGCCTCTTCCGTGCTTCGTATCCTCAACCTCGCTTCCAGTCAACGGCTCCGAGTCGTACCGCGTTCAATCTCGTGCTCGTTCCGTGTTCTCGTTCTCGTTCTGTCTCCTTGTACCTGTTCCGACGTCCTATTCTGAACTCTCGTAGTCGCTCGGCTCGTTGCGGAGTAGGCCAGCTCTGTTCCTTAGTCGCTAAGCTCGTTCCGCAGGTCGCTGTCCTCGTTTTGCTGGATCCTGTCTTCCTTCCGCTGGTTCGTATTCTTCTTCCGCTGGTTCCTAAGCTCGTTCCGCGAGTCCTTGGCCTAACCTGTACTCCTTCCGACTTGCCCTGATCTCGTAGTACTGGTGTTGCTCCAACTACGTGGCACTGCTTCCGTCCGAATGATTCTCGATGGCCCGACTAGGTCGCTAATGACCAACTCGGGGAGATGCCCCCCAACTCCAGAAAATGTGATAGCAGCGAGACGAGCTGTGCTCGTAGTTGCCTAGATTCGGAGGGGGGAGAACTAAGGTATGTACATGTCTTCGTGGCACTGTATGCCACAAAAGCTGACTAAGAGTCTCTAGTTACTATATATGGTAATCAAAAGCAAATCGCACAAAGTCCATGAAGTACAGTAAGGTGTAGGGTATCGGAGGGAACAAGAAAGGTAGTCCATGTGCTCGGAAGGAACATGACAGTCCAGAGAGCCCAAAATAGGTGAATACACATACTGTCCGGGCCTATGTGGGGGCCACTCCCCACATCTCCCCCATACTCGAATTGTGACCGTCCCCGGTCACCTACTCCCCGCTAGGACCCTGCCTAACCGAGAGCGATCCATTGCGACATGAACGACGCGAGTCCATCTGCTCGACCATTTTCTGTGCCGCACCCCTGAGTCGCGTCAAAACCTCGCGCATGTTCTTCGTCCTCGTCGAGCCAGCCGTAGTTCCGACTCGCCTCGGCAATCGCACCCTCTGCGTCTCCACATGGCAGGTACTGGACAATCCACCGTCCGTTCTTGTCTAGGTGCCCGCAGCTGATCAGCTCATCGCCGCCCGCCTCCTCCGGGATACTGCGTTCAGCCAACTCCACAAGTAGACACTCTCCACGTCGAGACCCGTTTGTGTCGTTGATCGCACCATGCCGCCGACCACCAGATCTGATACCTTCTCTCCGCAGCTCCCCCATACCCGAATTTACACTCTGAGATTGCCCTCGTTCCGTTGAACCCTGCATAGGGTGATCTCGGGCCGTACCTAACCAGCGCATGAACCCGCTGCGCAGCCGCTGGTCTGCCTCCGCAACTGCCTTCTTCGCTTCGTCGCGCGGAAGGGACTCAATGACCCACTCTCCCTGCTCGTTGAGATGGCAGCAGCTGGTCAGCTCATTATCGCCTGCCTCCTCCAGGATGTTGAGTCCCGCCGACTCCAGCCGTAAGCACTCGCCGAAGCCCAATTTTTCTGCGTCCATTGCGATGTCGAGCTGACCACCACGTCCAGCTTCTCTCCGCAGCGCCCCGGTACTCGGATCCACGCTCTGCGGTCGCTCTCGTTCCGCTGGGCTTTGCATAGTGTGGCCTCGAGTTGCGCCTACTATCCTGCGCGTGGACCCGCCGCGCAGCCGCTGATCTGCTTCTGCAACGCCCTTCTTCGCCTCATCACGTGGAAGCGACTCAGTGACCCATTGCCCGCGCTCGTCGAGGAGGAAACAGGTCACCAGCTCGTCATCGTAAACCTCTTTCGTCATCCTGAGCTCAGAGAACCCGACAAACAGGCACTCGCCGAGTCCAGGTTCATCCGTGTCGATCGCGCCGTCTCGCCAGCCTCCAGCCCCCGCACTCTTCCAAAGATCCCCTTTACTCAGCTCCGAACTCTGTGGTTGCTCGCGTCCCGCGGGTTCTTGCGTTCTCGGGCCACCTGGCCCACCTGCTCGTCCAATCTCCCGTTGCGTCAGGTGCTCGGTCCTAGGGTTATCCGGGATCGCTCCCCCAAGTCGCACACGCTCGTGTACCAGGTACTGCGCTAACCATCTGCTCCGCTCGGCGTCCTCGTCAACGGTGCGTGTGTCGTCCTCCGGGGTCCATTCATCTGCCTGCTCAACTTCGCGCAGGGCGGCCTCGGCTTCGAGTCGCTGAATGTACCCCCATAGCCGCCGCCCGTCCTCCGCAATATGCCAGCACGCGACAAGGTCGTCCTCGGGTGCCTCCTCCGGTGTATCGGTGTCGAACTCGCCGAAGTCTCCTAGCAGCCATCCCTCTTCCGGCTCGTCTTTAATCGCGCACTCCTCTGACAAGTGGCCATTTAACGCTGCTGCTGAATCGTCCGCATCACTGTCAGGTCGCAAGGTCCGTAGCAGGTCGACTGGCGAGTCGATGTTCTCGCTGACTTCAGCACAGTTCCCGCCCTCGCACGTACGGTCCAGTGGATCAAATGTACTGTCTTGAGGTTCGTCGCACGTAGCTGTCGCCTGTACTCTGTGCAGCCAAATGGCCTCGTCTCGGTCGCCTTTTCTCGGCCTGAAGCTCGCGCCCTGGTCCGTTTCGCTGACCGTATGCGCAAGCCTGCCCATCCTGCCTCCTTGCCACGGTACATTTGCGTCCACGAGGTATCCGGTCTGCTGACTGCTCGTCCCCTCGTACTTGGAGTGCGCGTCGTCCTTGGTTTCGCTCAACAACTGCTCCCCGGCTGCTATCCGTCTCGGCACCCTCCATGTCTCGCCACGGCCGGTACGTTCATCCGCCCGCTCCCCCATACTCGGCTCAGCACTCGCCTCCTGGTTCGTCTCGCCGCGCGCCTGTACATCCCTGCCTCCCCCGTCTCGTTGCCGCCGTACGCCTGTCATGTCCGCCAAGGGTTCGCTCGGCTGGCAGATCTCGAGCAGGTTGACCTGCAAAACGGCCTCGCCATTGCTGTCCTGCGCGTGCGTGCTCGCTCCCGTACACTCAGTGCGTCCATTCCCTTCCGGCGTGCCAATGCGTGTTGACATCCCAGCTTGACTCCACGGTCTCGCAGCTTCCCGAACCCCGCCATGTCCAGCGTGTTCACCGGCTGGCCCGGGTTCCCCATTACTCAGCTGGATGCTCGCGAGCTGGTTCAAGTCGCCGTGAGCTCGTACGTGCCCCTCTCCCGCCTCTCGTGGCAACGATTGGCCCGTCATACCTGCCCCGGGGAACCCGTTTGGCCGGCTGACTTCGACGAATCCTGCTTGTGGTCCCAGCTCTCGCCCGTCTGACTCCGCGATAGCCTGCACGACATCCCTCGCCACCGTTACGTGTCGTCGCCTTGGTACGTCCGGTGAGCCCACCAGTCCTTCGGCTACCTCGCTGGTCCTGAACGAGTTCACCTGTAGAACCGTCGCCCCATCCCCGTCCTCCGCGCACTCCCTCTCTCTCTCGCACTCGACACGCCTGCTCCCTCCCGATGTGCGTGCTGACGCCTCGGCTAGGCCCTGCGATTCTGCCGCCTTAAAGCTCGCGGCCTGGCCCGTATCGTCCCGCACTTGCGCCAACTCGTCCCCCGCAGAGCGCTCCGGAGGTACGTCCATTCGGTCCACACGACCCCCGGTTGACTCGTCCACCTCGGCCAGAGCAACATGATCGCTGACCTGCGTATACTCGGACATTCTCTCCCACTCGGCACACCCATTCTCTCCTGGCTTCTCCACGCGATCCCATGGTCTCATTACCTCCCTCGTCTCGCTACCCTCCGCGTGTTCATCAGCTAGCTCCGGCTCCCCACTACATGGCCGCTTGTTCGCGAACTGGCTCGTATCGCCGTGCGCGTGTGCAAGCTCGTCCACCACGGAACATTTCCGGGGTATGTCTGCTAATTCCATGAGATCTCCAGTGCGCTCACTGACCTCGACCAGGTTCCTCTGCAGAGGCATGACCTCGTGATCGCCATCCTGCATGTACTCGCCCGTTCCCTTGCGCTCGGTCTGAGCGTGCCCGCTTTGCATGTACCGTGGTGTCTCCAAGTCAGTTGGTTCCTGATGTTCGGGCGTAGGGAGAGTCCCGCGATGGCTGATGCACTCGTGAGTCGCCTCCGCCTCCTTGTCAGCTGGTTCCCTGGTTCTTCCGCCACTCGACAAGTACTGCTTGCCATCCTCGGAACGTCCAGCCGTATTGCTCGCCGATAACTGGTCTCGACTCGACGCTGGCTCCCCGTCCTGACATACACGGTCTTCCGACTCG